CTCTCTCTCTCTCTCTCTCTCTCTCTCTCTCTCTCTCTCTCGCACACGCGCACACACACACACACACACACACACACCCAGAATCGCTCCGCTTTTATTTCCGGGACTGCTATCGGCTGTCAAATGCAGCAGTTGGAGAGGGCGGGGGAGAGAGGTCGGCGAGGCAGCCCGACGCCCGCTCGGCCTTCCCCGGAGCTTTTGGAAAGGGACTCACCGTGATGGGCCGGAGGGTACCGCTGCACCGTCGCCCGCACCGAGTTGCTATAATAGGGGACGTGGCTGCCCTGTCCGTCAATGTTAAAAAGTACATCCACCTCGTCCGCCAGAGGATACTGCGTGGGGTCCATGTAGGAATGGCCCAGTCCAGGATGATGGGAATCCGGGTGCTGCCCGTTGAGAACGGCCGGGTGATGGTGGCTGACCCAGCGCGGTTGGTCCGCGGTAACTTCCATGGTGCTCTGCTCACGACGCGGCGGCGGCGGCGGCGGCTTGGAAAAAGTTGCTCGTCGCCTCAGTGCCCGGCGCAAAGAAGGGGAGCAGCGGGGGAAGGAGAGGCAGCCGGGGAGGCGAACTTGACAAAGACGGCCAAACACTTGCGTCGAGTCGGTGCGAGGCGATCGTCCGAAGGGGCGCGCGAAAGGACGGGCGCGTTCTGGAAAGGGACTGCGCGCACGGGAAGGTGGTGGAGGCGTCTCTTAAATAAGCGTCTCCCCCACACAAAAACAAGGGGAGAGGGGGGGATAGGGGGGGAGAGAGAGAGAGAATGAATGAATGATGAGGGGGGAATAGAAGGAAGACCGGGAGAAGCCGCGGCAAAAGTAAGTCTCCGTGCGCTCCCTCTCCTTTCTTCTCCGTGCCTTCTTTTGATCACCTGCGCAAGAAGAGAAGGAAGCACAACACAACCGGGGCGGGGGGGAAAGAGAGAGAGAGAGCGAGCGAGAGAGAGAGAGAGAGAGAGAGAGAGAGGGCGAAGGGCTCGGTTACAAACAGCCGCAACAACTTTTAAAACGCTTGCAGGCGCGGAAGATGCGGCCCTTCCGAGAGGGATCCTCCGCAAAGTCCACCCCCTGCCAGCGCTTCCCGCCCACCCTCCCTCCGCCCCCCAGAAAAAAAAGAAACTCCGGCGAACTCACCTAGCCGAAAAGGGAGCGCGCCGCTCTCTTTCCCTTCCGCTCTCCGCCGCCTCGGAAGCGGCCGAGGGCTCGAAAGGCACGGGCTGCCCCAAGCCCGCCGCGGCCACAGCAGCCGGTCCCGCCGCCACCGCTGCGCGCGCGCCTCTGCTCGCTGGCGCGGCCGATTTCCCCCGCAGCCGCCCGGCCGGTCGATTTCACCTAAAGCAGAGCGGGCGAGAGCGGGCTGAGCATTTCTGGAGGAGGAGGGCGAGCGTTGGGTTTTAAAAGGGGTGGGAGCGCCAGGCAGCGCTTCCTCAACCACCCGCCCCCCCCCCCGGCCCAAAACGCAGACCAGCGGTGCTGCAAAACTTTGTTGCAGCCCAGCCCGGGAGAAAACGCTTCAGCGCGCTTTCGAAAGAGGTGGGATCGTTTTGAATGCACCCGGAGCAAGCAAACGAGCGAGCGAGCGAAGTGGAGGGGGAAGACCTGAAGAGAAGCGGCGCGGGGGGGGGGGGAGGAAGGCGGCGGAAAAGAAGAGCGCTAAAGTTGCCTGGGAGGGCCGAGGGAGAACGTGATCGGTTCAAATTGTACTCTCCGTTTCCCTCCCCCTCCTCTCTTTCTCCCCCCTTACTTTTTTTTCCTCTTTGCTCCCCCCTCTCTTTTTAAAGGGAAGGCATTATTTCTGAAAGAACCCGGGTTGGCGCCAGCCAGCTCGGTATTCACAGACAGCTGCGGCGAGACACAACTTAAGGAGGTTCCACTGCCATCAGGATGGAGAGGCGGAGCCTGTCATGGAACCAGGGGGAGGGAACTAACTGTTGCTGATCTCCCTCTCCCCCCCCTCCAAAAAGTATCCGTCCCTCCCACCCCTGCCGGGGCCGGAAAGATCCAACCTTGCCTTGCTCATTTTTGAGTTGTTGAGAAAGACTTAACCATCTGCAGTTAAATTGGGGGGGGGGGGGTGAACACTCTTCCTCTGGTTATTTTTAAACACTGCCTCTCCCCACCCCATAAATGATTGATTTAATATTTCGGAGGCTGGGCGACTTATCCAATGAAGAAATGTTTTCTAAGATGTCTTTGAGCTTTGGGTCGTTTTTCTATGTCTGAGCAGATGAAGAAACGCACTCGTTATTTAACTGGGGAGGTGTGCGTGTGGGGGGGGGCGGGTGCTCTCCCTCTCTCGAGTTAATCCGATCTGGACAGCACTCATTACGCTGGGTAAATTGTGCTTTCGGGGGGAGGGAAAGAGTGGCTAATGGGTTCTTCGGGGGGAGGAGAGGGGTGTCGTCTTGTCCCCCAAGAGCACTCCCAAAGGCTGGGGAGAACTTCGCGAGAAGGAAACTAGCCTGCGGCTCGCCTGCAAACCCAGGAAGCGCCAGTGCAGCGTAGCTCGTGGGAGCGAGCCGCGGAGGGAAAGTTTGCAGGGCTTGGCTTGGCTTTGCCTTGCTTTGCTTTGCAAGCGCGGCCCCGACTCGCGAGGAGGCCCGTCCACTTCCTAAGAGCGTCCCGAGCCGGTGCAGGGCGACGCCGCGCCCGGGCAAACCGAGTGCGGGGCGGGGCGGGCGGGGCGGGGCGTGGAGACTCGCGCGGCCAATCGGGAGGCAGGAGCGGCCTCCGCTCGCCCAGGCCGCCGCCCATTGGCTGCGGGCCCCGCGTTCGAACCTCGGCGACTCTCGCCGCGCGCCGTCCATTGAGCCAGTGCATCCCCTAGCGGCCCGTGCAGCGCCGGGGAGCCGAGCAGCGCGCCGCCTCCCGCCGCGGGCCGTGCCGCCAGCCGCGCCGCCTCCCCGCGAAGCGCGGCGAGCGCGGGGGCACCGGCCGGCCTGGGAAGGCCAGCGAGCAGGCAGGGCGCGGGGGGGGGGGGAGGCGGTTTGAAGGCCGGCCGGCCGGCTTGTCCGTGCGCTTCAACGCTGGTCGAGCTCGGCGCTCGCTTGCGTGGCTTCGTTCCCTGGAGGGGCTGGTATTTTATGGCCTGCCGCCCGCGATCCATGCATTTAACCGCCCGCCCCATAGTACAGTGCTTTTTGAACGGGGGTCCTCACTCGCTTAGGAGGAAGGAAGTGGGTGGCGTGCAGTCAAGTCAACGCGGATTTACTCCGAAGTCAGTCCCAGTGAGCTCAATGAATTTTACCACTGGACTTATAAGGCTTTGCAGCCAAAGGGGGGGGGGGTGGATCTCTCTCTCCCCCCCCCCCCCCCCCCCCCCCCCCGACCGCCCATCTTTCAGGGAAACTGAGACGATCCAAGTGCTCTGGCTTAAGTAGCTTGCGGCTCGGGTTCGACGGCTTCCTTTCTCTTCCTGCATTAATCATTTTGCACCTGGACCCAGTTCTCTTCCAATGACTGGGAGAGCGTGGGGGCTGCTTGCGGGATTTCACTTCCCTCGTACACGGGCGCGCGGATCCCGCGGTGGCAGCAAGTTTGGGCACAAATCCCTGAACGGAGCACAGAAATTGTTGCGAAGACTTAAACGGCTGAGTCTGGAGTATCTCCAGTGCCGAGTCATTTCTGCGCGCAGAATGACTCCGGTTTAAGGCTGCAATCCTGATGCACGTTTACTAGGACCGAGTAAGAATCGCTTTTCACTTGCTTTGTAGATTCCAGCCTGAGAGAGTAAAATCATGCACACTTTAAAAAGCAGCAATTTTAAAATGAAGGGAAGCAGAAATTCAAGAGAAAAACGGTGGTTAACATGCGCGAGTAATGCCATTAAATACGTTTACTGCTCTGCTAAAGAGGATTTGATTTTCCACTCCAAAGTTTACGGCCGAATGGAATTTGTGTATCCCTGGAAGCTAAAGGGCGTGTAAATTATTTTGGCCACGTTCACACGTCCGTGGTCCTTCTCCTATTTAAATCCACACGGAAGCTCGACTCTGGAACTGTTACACTTCGAAACTATTTCACCTTTTTTAACTATAATGACAACAGAAAAGTCAACCAGGAAGCAGAGAACAAAACCGCCCTTCAAGTCTAACTTTACCTGCCTGTTTATTAAACAGATGCATTTCAAAATATATACCCAGACCACAAACGGACAGGGGAATATTACGCCAAATCGACAGAAACTTGATTCATCGAGAGTTAGGTCGCCTATAAATTTCTCCAAAAGTCGAGCGATGCCTCAGTTGAAATCCTTTTCTAAAAGAGCCCTCCTTGAGACATTAACTTCAATTATTGACAGAGTTGAAATATTGCTCTTAGCCGACGTTTGTTTTGTTTTGTTTTTAATCAATAGAAAAGATGATTCAAAACACTTGAAGTTAGGTTATGTCTACTTTCAAAAGGAGCCCAGACAAAATAGAAAAGGATCAACCAACTATAAGGTTTGGGTGGGATTAGATTGGACTGGATAAAACAGATAAGAGAACACCTAAGCACTAAATTATGACTGTTTTGTCTGAAGAGAATTCCCTCGGGGAAATTCCATTTCTGGGCGATCTTGGAGGAACGTGTGGCGTTGGTGGTGGCAGCTGGAGGGGCCCAGGTCTTGCCTCTCCCCCCCCCCCCATTCCTCCTAAATTATACTTAGGCGGCCTATGGTGTTCAAGGGATTTCACACTTATTACTCCTAGTAATCTTTAGAGTCGCGGTGAGGGCAAGAGTTGGTTTAGAGGTTAGCGAGCTGGAATGGAGAGACCATTTCATCTCTCTCTCGCATTCCTGCCCGGGCCATAAAGTCCAGCGGGCCAGCAATTCTTAATGGCTCTACCACACAGGTTGTGCGGAAGATCAAAGGTGTGTGTGTGGGGGGGGGGGCTGCCTACCTGGCCCTCAGGGTTGTCCTTTGGGGCCCAAACCAGGGCTCCACTCAGCAGAAGGTGCGGGCCGAGCGCGGAGCACCAGGGCTGGCTTAACACGTTTCGAAGTGCGGGGAATCCAAAAAACCGCCCGCCATCAAAAGACACCCCCCCCCCGCATAGGACAGATGAAGAAAAATGACCTTAGCTGCGCTGTTGCATGGGGGGGGGGGGGATGCAATGAATTTACACCCCTCTAGGCCAGGAAATATTTGCCCTCGCTTTCCCCTCATCCCGAGGAACTGGGCGCAGAAAAACATCTGCAGCAAAAGTTAGATTCCAGCCGCCAAAGTTAGATTCCAGCCTGGAACCGCCGCAGATCGAGCGAGCGAGCCCCCTCGGCTGCCAGAGCTCCCCGCGCGCAGGTCCTCCTGGACGCGACGGGGCTTGCTCCTGAGTAGGCCCGGATAAGATTGCAACCTTTGCCCCTGTGCCGACGCTGAGGTCACGAGGAATCCCACTGGGGAAGGGGGGCTGCGGTCTTCTCCCTTTCGCCCCCGTCTCCCCTCATTGAAACCGGATTGACAGGTTGTAATTGGGAAGGGGACGGGCGCGCGGGCATGGCCCCTCTACTGGGCCAGCCTGGCCGACGCCACTGGGCGCTGACGTCACGGCCATTCTTCCAGGCAGCCCGGGAGTGGCCGGAGGGGCTGGGGGGGGGCGGGGAGGCAAGACGGCCAGGAGCCACTCCTGCGCACCCTGGTGCCTTCCAGATGTGCTTGGACTGCAAGCCCCAGCCTCCCCAGCCCTGGAATAGCAGGGGAGGTCGCCCTGACACACCTGGAAGCCCCCAGGTGAGGGGAAAGCTGCTCCCAGCAGGGAGCAGTTCGCAGAAGACTGGCCGTTCAGATTTCCCCCCTTCTTAGTCACCCCGAGGCTCCTGAAATACCGGGACGTGGGGAAAGGTCCTTCCTAGCCTTTCCTGTGCTTCGAAGAGGGGGTGCAGGGCCCGATATCTGGGGTGAACTTCTCCAGTGCGTGTCCACTGAAGGCCCATTCCAGACAGCAGGCCTGCTCCTGGTGAGAGTGCATAGGATTGCCCTCACTGGGGAATTAACTCAGAGGCTGGCCCACGTTGCTTTCGATGGGAGTTGTGCCCCCGTGAACGAGTGCGTCAGATAGCCTAACGGGCACAGAAGGGCACAGCTGGGAAGCGGAGCAGAAGGCCAGGATGTCGATGAGAAGGGCACCTGTGCGGGGACTTGCTTTTAACCCAATAAAAAAGTAACTTTTCAAGGCATTGCGCAGGTAAGATGGACATCGGTATGGAGGCCCAGATGGGACAACATGC